GTGAGTTAGATCATTATTTCAATCATTAATACAATTTTTGTTTTTTTGAAATGTAGATGCGTCGGACATCATCCCTTAGAAGTTCAAAAGTAAATAATAAAAAGTTAGGTTACTTGTGGGAAAATGGAATATGTTGTCCCATTGGTACTATACCTATAAAGAGAGTCACTAACGATGAACTAGTAAGATTAGATTCGTTCTGTGAAACATATAAGCCTCAAGATTCTTGAAACTTTAATGATAATGACCAACATCATGTAAGTACTATATTATTTTTTATTTTTCCATCCAAGGAGATATAAGCAGTATAATTAATTTTATTCAGTCAAAAAACATAAAACAAAAGTTAATAATGAATGGTGATGATGATTAGTTTGCGGTGTCTCGTACCAAAAAAGAACAAGGGAAATTATACACGGGAGCATCAATGTTGCTTTCAATAAATAATCTCAAGGTTAAACTTCCACAATACAGTTATACTCGTATGCATGTTCAGATTGGAAATAATTTTATTCAAATGGGTTGGACCATAAGTTTGTTATTATTATTTATTTTTAGTTTGAGATATGGCCAAATAATATCAGAAAACGATTCTTAATAAATAGACAATTTCATAATCATTTAATACTATTGTCATGAATATAATTACATTTCAGGTAAATCCAAATTTATATTCCGACAGCCAAACTCCATTTTTTTGTATACGAAAGTAAGTTTAATAATATATATATGTCTAACATATATATTAATTATCCCATCATAATATTTTAAGTTTGGTACTAGATATTTATACGCTAGACATACCGATGTATAAAATGATACAGGCATGTAAAAATCAATGTTAAAACAACATGTGTCCAGCTGGGATCATATCGGTTCGTTCAGATTTTTCTATTGGTCATGTTCTCGCTCCTCCTAGTATTCGTGGTTCAACCATGTTTATAGATACATATGCCTTATTAAGGTTTGTTAGTTATTAATTTTTTTCTTCTTTTCTAATTTATGAGATTGATATACTTATTATCTATATTTTTAGCTAAACAATTTATTCTTAAGCGTTATGCTTCACAAACTGTTATCATCT